GTCAAACGAGTAAGTCTCTCTCTTTTAAGCTGAGCTCTGGCCTTTTTGCGCCGTCTTCACTGTTTATTTTTTGTGTTATTGTCTTTGTGACAGTGTGCAAATAAAGCATTTTTCTTTCTCTCTTTCTTTCTTTGTGAGCTCCTACAACACCCATGACAAGCCACTCTATTGGACTTGGAGCCTCTATATAATAGTACTATCTACTTCAGCGCGGTTTCACATACTCTGCTCAGCTCCTATTGGTCGCAGCGTGATGTTTTATAGCCTAAAGCCGTCCTAGATAAATGCGCTATCCAACACAAAAAAAAATTATTCAAATCTTGTAGTTACGGAGATTAGCGCGTTCAAACAAACAAACAAAAAGAACTCTTCCGCTTTATATGTATAATAGTATAAGATTTGCCATATTCTCTCATACTTGACTGTTAGAGATAGCAGTTCAAAAGGTTTAGAATTATCAGAGAGCGCCACGTTTGGTGGGGTGACTGGGAAACTGGCTGCCACGCAACGTACCTATCGCGGGTTCGATTCCTGCACAGAACAACTCTTTGTGTGATCCACAGATCGTTATTCCGGGTCTGGGTGTTAAGTGATAACTTGTATGTTTATAAACGCACGTTTGTATTACAGGAATAGATGCTAGTGTGGGGCAAAGTTTTTTTTAAAAAAGAGACGAAATGAGACGATTGACTCTTAGAAATCGCAGTTTAATAAATTCAGAATTATCAGAGTTTTAAATGGAGGTATCTGTCCCTCAGTTGGCTGTTACGACACCAGCTAGAAATGCGAGGGTGCTGACAAAATAATGCATGTCACTCTATTCACCACACAGGTTAATCATAGTGTAAGATGACTTACTCTTACTGAATGGATAAAAAATCTAACATACGAAAGTACGGAAGCCCTGCTGCAACACGTAAAATAACCATCCCTCACACACCCTCGCAGATACACCACGACACACACACAGATACGCGCACCTCACACACACATACACCCCACACTCACATACACCCCTTACACATAAATCTATTTATATGTATAAGTCAATAAACTGGTAATTGTAAAAACCAAAAACTTTTGAAATATTGTTATGTTATGGAAGAGCGGAGTCTCCTAATACAGGCATTATTTACCTAAAAGGAGGCTCCAATCACAATCTATTGTTAAAAAAAAATATTTGGTTCAGAAATAAAAAAATTTTGTATTTTGTATTTTTGTATTATAGTCCTAAGTCCCATAGATGGGGCAGAGGGCGTCCACACAGGTTCTCCATCTTGATCGGTCTTGAGCTTCTCTCTACACCTCCAAATCATTCCGATGCTCATCGCTTCTGCTATCAAATTACTCGTGTAGGACTGTTTGGATGATATTCCCATATTAAAAAGGGACGGTCCTAATATAGGTATATGGTCGACCTAAACTAAAGATAATAGCCATACATACATACATACATAACTTCACGCCTGTCTCCCATGGGGGTAGGCAGAGACCAAGGAACGCCAATTACTACGATTCTTACATACCTCTTTCGCTTCATTAACAGTCATCAATCTTTTCATGCATGCTCGTCGGTTAAGGGTACTTTTAATTTGGCCCTTCTTTAATATATCACCAATCTGGTCACTTATGTCCGTCTAGGGCGCCCTCTACCGACGGCTCCATTCATAATAGCCATATTCAATAAATATTCATTTGAAAGACTTCTAACAAGAACCTTAAAGTATTTAGTTACCATAAAATAATAAAACAATATTCTATGACAATATAAAAGATATTTGAAGTAAACTATAAAATATCTAACAAACTGCCAGTTACGTCGATAGTAACAATAAGTCAAGTGTTCTTCCGGGCACAGAACCTTAGACCTCGGCGTCATATCGTATCAAAAGCATAAATTCTTTACAATTTCTTCGTTGCGTGATACGACGGACCCACTTTCTACCACGCGTGAAAGGGTTACACTGCAGTGCAAATTTATTGACACATTTTCAGTTCATTTTAAAATGTTTTGTTGGTATATTTTTGTTGGAATTTTAAGATGATTGTGAAAAAGATTGGAATTAGTTACACATATATAATATATATAACTTCACACCTGTTTCCCATGGGGATAGGTAAGGAACGCCAATTAATAGAATATAATGGAATTAAAAATAATTACTGTAAAAGTTAAATGATATCGAATTTGAATACAACCGAAGGGTACGTTAGATTTCTATAATACCTATAACAAATACCTATAGAGAACTACTATAACAGCAATATTAACTATTATATAATATATATATAAATATATATAAGCTAACGTTAATTCTTAAAAGCTTCTTGCTATATGATTACGCTTTTATTAGACTTTTTTTAAATTAGTGATGAGACAACAAGTTCGATGTTTTGAAACGACAGACTCTACTCTACCTGTAGACTGATTTATTAGTAAAACAGTCTGTCACTTTATCCTGTTATGTAACAAAACATCTATGTGTAAATGAAAATCCCAAACCAATAAGGTTGTTAAAAATTAGAAATCACAAAATTAATACTTGGCAACTAGTTTTATTTGGTAATCCTTATATAAATAGGTATTTTTTTATTGGGACAAGCCCGCCACTACCTCCCAAAACCGCTGCAACTCCTGTAAGCCAGGATCTACAGTAGATACAACCATGAAAACAGCGGAACACTGATGATTATAAATAGGTATATTAATTTTTCCACAATTAATCAGAAACTGTTCCTGTTTTAGAACAACGTCTAAGCAAATAAGGAGGAAGTTATTTTAATAAATTTTTAAACAAACAACTAATGTTTAATTGATTTTTGTTATAATTTTCCTTCCGCACTGGCAGCGGGACGTAATAAAACTATTATTGTAAATAAAATAACCATTTAAAGTTCAGTTACATTAGTGGCCGCGATACCCACATGTAGTTTTTGTTTTAATAAATTTCCTATAATTAAATTCATGCCGCGAAAATGTGGATCAATCAAAATTCCGATGTTTTGTTCGAGGTAACTATTTTTATCGTTTCTCTTTATTTTTATTAATTATTTTTATGATATAGATAAATAAGGATATAAATAAATATATACAACTTAAAATAAATTAAAACTAATGCAGACATTTAAATAAAAGAAAACTAAAAGTGACTATTTACAGAAAGCATCAAAAAATTCGTCCGCATCCATGTCAAAGTTTATCTTTCTCTTTACAGTTTTTATTACATTTTACTTCTTATATAAACATTTAAACGTTTTATTTTAATTGTGTCTTATACAATATATGCTAATTTTAAATAAATACAAAAATAAAACCTCATATAACCACACAAATACTTGACTTTAGCATTTTCTATTTCAAACTGTTTTCGAAAGACGAGCTTGCAAACAAAAATAACCAAATTTTTCACCAATCAAATCCCTTGTTAACAACAGACATACATAAACACAGAAAATATCATAAATACAAGTAACACACGACAATACAGCAGTAGCTCGCGTATCATAGATTTTGTTACAATATTGTACGTATCATATTTCTTGGCCTCCAGTGTATACCTGCGTGTTCAAAGTCGTTTCTTTGCAGTCGTACGAACGAAGGGTTTTCAATAAATATACAGGCAAACGTATAAAATATATACTTCGAGATTAGGTTGAGATTAAACAATTCTTACTTACATGACAACCGATATTGATAAAACTTTGCTGGGTTTTTGATAGGGTTTGTAATGACTTGAGTTCGGTTTTTGAGTTTGTTTGTTGATATGTTAGGGTATGGGGTTATTGGGGAAGGACTTTTTATGTTTTGTTTAGATATTCAATTGCATTAGTAATGTTGGCGTTTTATATAGGTACTATTGTATCTGATAGATAAGATACCTAGGATACCTAAGTAAATGATTGTGGTTTAGTGGCGACAAAATATAAAACTATAATCAGAATCCATTTTTGAGATAGACTTTAGACTTTAGTATTATTTAGTACAGCTATCGAAAACTTAAAACTTTATCTAAAATCACCGTTTAATTAACAAAGATTCGGATAAAAATCAGAAGAATTACACTTCTATTTACACATACAATTTAATCATTATCAAAAATCGACATTACTACCTACACTAGAGGTAAACTTACAGCATAATACACAAACCAAATATAACACTCAACAACTTAACAAAAAACACATTTAACAATAAACACTTATTTCTATATCTAAAAATAAACACACAATTATTCACCCAAACGACCTAATAATGTCGCATAGAAACACACACACACACACATGAGTAACTAACACCACTAAATAATATAAAGTCTCTATAATTTCCCCTTATCTATGGCTTGGGGAAGGCAATTTCTTTGCTACAGCTAAATTATAGGACGCCTAGCGTGAAACCTAACACTAGACAGAGTATATAACCTATGTACTCGTGTGGTACCTTTATGTACTTGGTATAAGTACAAGGAAACGCGTAATTAGGTATTTTTAAGTTGATTTGTGTTTTAATGGGGTACTTGAGAATGTTTGGATTTATTTTGTTGGTAGTTGGTTTCTGTTTAGGTATTGGAAAGTAGGTTTTATTTAATAATAAACCTTAAAGTGAACGTTAGTAAAAGTATGTCTCAGTTAATCTATGTCTTTTTGATCGATCTTAATTTTTATCAAAACATTTTAATTGATATCATCCTGTTACCTACAGCTTTACCATTTAAAAAACTTGTTTGCCTATAGGTAGCATTTTAAACGGTAATTCTGAATAATTTATACTTCAAAATATCACTATAATGTCTCTTAAATGATCAAATTTTACGTCTATTATGATCAAGCGGGGAATAGCTATACAAAATTACTTGCAATTGAGGAATAGAGTAGAAGACAATAAAACTCTAAGTGTCTTCTTCTTCTTTCTATACAGGGTCAGGGTCTAGGAAATCAAACTACCCCATCTCGAAAAAATGTGGTATTTTAATTTAAACTAACCCAAACCGAAATTGTTACAGATATTCATGCACAAAAACGCAATGCAGATGCATGCACGAGAACTGCAACGAGGACTCGGAGGCGAAGTGAAACCTCATCAATGTCAGCAGTGCCTGAAGTCGTTTAGCTCTAATCATCAGCTGGTACAGCATATCAGGGTCCACACAGGAGAAAAGCCTTACAAATGCTCCTATTGTGACCGAAGGTTCAAACAACTGAGCCATGTGCAACAACACACACGATTACATACAGGTAAGTGAGGTTTTTTGTCGATAATCGTGCGGGTTTTTCGATAATCGGAAAGGTTTTTTGATAATCGTGTAGGTTTTGTGTTTTTTGAATTTATGAGCCAAAGTCGTTATAACGAATACAAATGTTTGACAAAGGCATATAAGAAGATATTTTGGGATATCTGTTAGGTGTAAGCTGAATTTCAAAATCTACATTTATTGTTAGGAAAATAAAATTAATCTGAAAGACTGCAGAAATTTTCTATGTTCAAAACTATTCTTTCTGAAAGCAAAATCTGGCCAAAAATATGTTCAATCTAAAAGAAACCGACGTCGCGTTCCAATTGTTAAAATAACATGGTATGACTACACCCAATCTCAATAACCTATACAACTAAAGCAATATTAAAAAAATATAATTACTCCATTCATCTGTTCATTATGATCATCTACCTACAGTACGAACGAACTCATAATAGAATCATACGTGGAGCTATTTTAAGTAAGTTTAATAATACTTCTTATACACCTTAGTATTACTCATACGACGACTAATGAAACATGTTTAAAAAACGTAGAATATAATTGTAGAACTCTTTTAAACAAGGAAGATTTTCCTCTCAAATATTGTATTAGGGAAATCACTATAATAACTACGAGCAGTTTACCTATTAATTAAAGACCCGACGGCAATGTTTTACTATATAAAATCCCCATGTTGGAAAAACATCGCTTTAATAATAAAAAGTATATTGATGTTGAATAGCGGCGTCAAATAATAGAACAACTAATATTCTAAACGAAACACACTCGAATATTCAACATGGCCACTTCTATTCCAAATTTAAAATCATCGCAGCGGCGCGTCACGAAAAAATAGAACGTTATAATTAAAATAGGCTCCCCACTATTGGTCGAAGTATCTAAGAAAAAAATTAGTACAACCGTATACGTGAAAAGCGGTGAAAAAAATTCTCCAATAGCCAGCGGCGAGCGGCGGCGCCGGCCAATGGGAGGGCAGCGTTGCAATCCAAGTACGTTTTACGTGGCTTAGATAGAAAAAAATTTACGTGTTTTTCCACGTTCGCGTCGGCCAATGAGCGTCGTTCGTCCATTCGTATCTGCATTAATTCAATCGTATGGCTTTTTGTCGTGATTTTTATTGTTGCGTTTAGCAATGCAATTAGTTGAATACAGGTTGATTCTGTATTAATAAATCATGTTGTTACAGTAATGGTGGTCGTAAAAAGTAATGTTATTTAAATCTAAGATGATTTGTCTTGTTTATCTTATTTGTTTTTATTTTTTCTATTTAGAACATATATGTAAGTACCTATGTTCCGTCGATTCTGAGACGTGTAGCTCAAGATGGCTTCTAAGTATTTCGCTATAGTAAAAAGGTCTTATTGTAAACAGATTATAATGAATAAGTTTTTAACTTTAACATTTCAAGTAGCCAGTAGCATACAAATTCTTAACCATTTCCAACCACACTACTATGTCCAAAAATAAAAAACCTATCCGACATCAAATTCGTAAATATAAATCCTTAATTATTAGGATAACTAAACGGTATCTATTAAAATACACTTATAGGACCTCAAAAAGAGTTTTTAATCACAGACTAGAACCCCCGCCATGGTCATTGAGATAATTAACGCATTTAAAATCTACTGATTGTAGGTTTGTACAGCATAAATGAGTTTTTTAATTGTAGCCATGTCGACAGGTCCTGTCTATGGCCCGTCCGTATTTTTTATTAATTTATTGACTCTGTGACGAGTTCTTGTAAGGTTTTAATTCGACTAAATGTTTAGTAATATATCAATTTTTTGTGACGTTATATTCTTTATCCTTATTGTTGTATGGTAGTAGATAGATAGATATTAGTTAGTTATACTGTCGAGGTTTTTAAAAATGGATTGGACAATAGTGTTGTGTAATTTAGACTTTAAAATCGGTAATTAGTATTAGTACTTTTTGATTTCTCTCGCTTTCGGTTAGACGAGAGAGATAGTGTCAGACTCTTACTGACTAAAAACCAACCCGTTCCTACTACTGCTCTTCCAGCCGGGGTACCGGCAACCCGTTAGGCCTTCTACGGCTCCAATTAGTATTAGCACTGGGTCTGACATGGCTCATAGTCGTAAATATATGCTAGAAACTAATATAAAACAACAATCATAATGGACAACACGGTCGGACATCAAAAATTTTATAAATAAAATGCAATTTCTACTTACTAAATTATAACATTATGCATCCCCATCACATAGATGGTTAGCAGGCTACAACTGTAGCTTCTCACGTAGCTTTCTGCCTCGCTCAGCAAAACTGTAGAATGATCTGTCATCGGTGGTATTTCCGAACCGATATGACCTTTAAACCTCCAAAAAAAGTACGTTCCTTATTGAAATGCCGGCAACGAACCTGTGTCTTCTCTGGTCTTGCCATGGGCGGTGCTAATCGCTTACAATCAGGTGATACGTCTCCTCGTTTGCCTCCTAAAACACTTAAAAGAAAATAAACATTATCCAGCTAGACTATTTTTCTTCCTATACATGTGTTCTCCCTACAATAATAACAGTGCAATCTAATAACACACAACGAAAACCTTTTTCAGTCCTTCAATGACGTGAAAATTACCTTGAAACATTTTCACATCGATACACATTTTATTCTATGACACTCACCTTATAGTCGACTGTATTACGTGAGAACTATGACAACGCATGACACCCCTATTTCGTGTTGCCTACGACTAATTGCTAGTTGTCAGTTTTTGTGATAAAAGAATATACGCTATTGTGTAGGGTATAAAATAGTTATAATTTCATTGTTCTTTATGTATTTTATAAAGTCAAGTTTCAAGTCTAAACGGAGTGATACCACGGCCTCACAGAAGACCGACGTGAAACAACGTCGTGTTGTGTTTCGTTGTGTGCGTGAGGTTACCGGATGCCCAATTACACTTAATTACCGAAGGAGGATACCTCGAAAGACATGAAACAAAAATGTGTCTACTGCCCTCTTTCACTTTACGAAAACCTAATCGATGTACCTTCTTACTTCCCCAATTATTCCCGAAGATTTTACATGACAATAGACACAAAAAACTTTTGTCAGTACCTACACAAGTGGAAAATAACAAAAACAGAACATTTTGTTTTACAAATCTTCAATGGAAACGATTTTGTTTTGTTTTATATGTTATTTTGTTTGTGTATAAGAAGGTTCTCCTGTGTCTTTAAGGTTCATTATTGTTTGAATGAGATTGAAAAGTATGTGAACTTTTTGCTTGTCTATTTTTATACTGATAATGACAAAGTCGAAGCATTTATTTTAATAATTTGTCTACGTATAGATATTTTTAGTATCCCAAACAAACATATTGAGAACGTCTTAATAGGGTGGTAAAGGTAGACATTTTATAATAGGTAGGGTAGATGCCTAATTTTTATTTTAAAGTCCGTCTGGTAGATTATTTTAAATCAATAAACACTTGTTTATTTTCTTACAGAAACGAATACTTTCGATGATATATTGATTTAAAATGTCGCGTGACGTCACTTCTTTGTACATTTCATACGTAGAAATGACGTTTTAGCCCCCACCCCTAACCTTTGATTCGTTTTATCTAAGTATTGTTTTGTTATACGACAAAATAAAAAAAATACGTGTCTAATATTTTTCATTACTTAACATACGGACTAAGTATATTTTTAATTTTCATACCCTGTCATCATCCCTATTCTAGAAACACAATCTAACTATACCTTACACAATCCAACAATATAAAACAACATAACAAAAGAAAAATAAACTTTAACCGTATTTAAATAAAATTGAACATTGAATACTTCAAGGAAAATGAACAATGTTTTAAGACAAGCATAAAAAAAAAATTAACAGGTGTACGCAAAACTCGAGCTGAGATCTTCCTGTCGCTACTAAAACTCAATATTAAACGGGAAACTGGAAAGTTACCGTTGAAAAATTCTCTAAAAGAACAAAGACTTCTGTCCAATGTTCTTGAAAACTCTCCAGAGAAATATTCCAATAATTTCTTCGCAACCTTTTCGCCTTTTCCAAAGTTTCGAGTTTTTTTTTCTTATTCACGAGGATTTGTAACCGTTCTTTGGCTTGCTTCCATTTTTATTACGAGCAAAGGTTTCATATATTTAGAGTAGATCAGACCAGAGATAAATAATGAAACATAGACATCTTTTTTCATTGAAGTGACAATAGCAGAGATTGATGTCATCGGACAAAACTCAAAAGTTATTTAACAGAATACAAAACTATATGGGTAACTAACAACCCCAACCATGTCAAAGTCAAAGCATTTATTTCAATTAAATCATAATTTGGTACTTTTGAAAAGTCAACAAATACAGAATAAAATAGTCAGTGAAGGTAGGTGAAGCAATATTACAGACATCATTATCATTAATCAGTCTATTTCTACATTCTTTCCTCAACTCAACTTCATCTAGTTCTAGAGCATTCGACCGCTTTATGCCCCATCCGTCACTGTTAGCCCTCTATATACCTACAGCCACTGAACTAGCTTCATGCTAATCCTGATTGTATGTGACTATAGCTATGTCGGTCACTACCTTCGCAATCAACTGAATTTGAGCAATGATGCATAAGCAATGTTAGATCTTTAGTTTAGGCTCTTATTGAAACTATAGGTTAAAGATTTGATGCTTTACCGTTATCAAAATACGGTTCTATATTGATTAATGTAAGTTCATCTGCATTGAAGTTTTTTTGTCATTATTTTTCATCATCGTTGCTGTTGTCAAGTCAATTTCAACATCAAAATCGTTAGCAACTTTACTAATACTATTATCAATATCATTATTTACGCCAACATCATCGAAATGACCATTTTCGGTAGTTGAACGACCTACACTAACATAAACAATATAGCATTTTACGGTTTCACGCCCTGTGCAAATTATTGGAGCTATGTACTTATATAGGGGGGTGACGGGGTGATCTCGTGTGTTCGCG